AAAAAAAAAAAAAAAAAAAAACCATTTTGAGTTTGGGTTTGAGTCTCGGTTGGAGAAAATTTACTGTATAATTTGAGTTTTGAGTATCGGTTGGAGATGCTCTAAGTACGGATAGTTCAAAACCGAGCTCAATTCAACTAATAGGAAGGCTTGTTAGCATGGTCACGTTGATCTAGTGGTTAACATAGGGTTTTTTTTTTGAACAATAGAAATTTGAGAAATGTTGTAGGTATATAATACTATACATGGAGGTGTACATAACACTTACATTAAATGGGTCCTACCAAAAATAAAAAATCAAGTAGACCCCACTTCATGTGAGTGTTTTGTACACATCTATGTACATCTATTATGTACTTGTAGCATTTTTCTAGAAATTTTATAGAAAAACACATGATTACATCTAAAAAAAGTCNNNNTTGAATGAGATGGATGATAGCAATGACGATTCGGATTTCATTATTGAAGAAGATGATATGCTTGGCTCGGAAGAAGGTGAAGATGGTGACGACAATGTTGTGTCCCCCTGAAACATGATGGGTGGTTTAAATGAGCATATTCTATGCAACAAAAAGAGTATATCAATCCACAATGTTCCTCAGCTTGATTTTTCTGGAGGTGTTGCTATTGAAGAAGACAATTTTAATGAAACTACTACTCGTTCGAGTAGTGGTTGGAGGATTCCCGAAGCCATTTTTCACAATGTTGATGTTCATCCCTCGTCTGAAGAGCCATCAATGATAGACCGTGAATTAGCCAAAGGCGTTGTCATTCAAAGTAAGGAAGATTTGTTGGTAAAAGTTGGGTTATACCATTTGAAGCATAAAGTGGAGTACCGAACACCTAGATCTTCAAATTCTCGGTTAAAGGTTGTGTGCAAGCATAAAAACTGCTCATTCTTGCTTTCTGCGAATGCACTGACTGGAAGTAGTTGGAAAATTTCAAACTTTATTCATCCACATACATGCTTGGTTAACCTGAGTCATTCAGCCCCTCGACAATTGCCTGCAAAGATCATTGGAGCATTATTCGCGCCGAAGTTGTTGACAGAGGGCCGAGTATTGAAGCCTGCGGAAATTATGGGTGACATGGAGCGTGATCATGGCATTAAGCTCAACTACAATACAGCTTTGAGGTCTCAAAACGCCGCATACGACTTCATTTATGGAGATCACAAGAAGTCCTGGGAACTTTTGCCGGCGTATTTTCATATGTCGATGAAGAAAAATCCTGGAACATCGGCATACATTGAGACCGATAAAGATGACGTGTTTGAGTATGCTTTCATTTCTTTTCATGTGTCTGCAGGCTTCCTCAGTTATTGTCGGCCCGTTATTGTGATTGACGGTACGCATTTGAAGGGTAAGTATAAAGGCATCCTATTTGTAGCAACTACAAAGGACGGAAATGAACAAATTTTTCCTTTGGCATTTGGTATCAGCGATAAAGAATGTCATAGTGCGTGGATGTGGTTTCTCCAAAAGCTTTGATCCACTTTTGGATGTCCGGAAAATTTAGTGATTGTTTCTGATCGCCACCAAGGCATAAAGTCTGCTATGGAGGTTGTTTACCCTGAAGCCGTACATGCCATATGTTCCTACCACCTTCGACAAAATATTCGAAGTCACGGGTGTAAAGCTGTTGGTTTATATATGAAAGCTTCATACACTTATTCTCCCGTTGTGTACGAAAAGTCAATGGCTATGCTTGCGGCAAAATATCCTAACAGAAAAAAGGTTTTGATTGATGAAGCCATTCCAACTAGATGGGCACGAAGTCAATGTCCTGTGAGACGATATAGTTTCATGACGTCAAATGCTTGTGAGGTGCTTAACAATAGGTTGCGTTGGGCAAGGAAATTGCCTGTTTGCTCATTGTTTGAATGTATTCGAAACATTATGCAAGAGTGGTTTCACAAAAGGCGTGTCGAGACAGAAAAGACTGAGTGTAAAGTACCTCCGTCAATATCTAAGCGTTTAATGGATTATAAAACCGAAGCGGACCAAATGGAAGCTTCAAATATCAATCACTACGTTTACCACGTGAAGGATGGGGTCAAGAATTTTGTCGTCAATTTGAATGATCGGACTTGCACTTGTTATCTCTTTCAAGTGGATTTATTGCCCTGTTCACATGCGATTAAGGCTATCGGGTAATTTTTTCATTTTTTTATTTAATAAAAGCCTCAACGTTTACATACATATGTTATGTTACACATAAGAAAATGTTATATTGTGTTATTATTTTTTTAGGAAGGCAAACGAATCGGTGTATAGATATGTGCACGACTACTACAAGACCACAACATGGTGCAAACTTTACGACCCCATAATCATGCCAATTGCGCATCCAAGTACTTGGGACTTAACTACAACACCTAGTTTGATGGTTGTCAAATGCCCTATTAATCCCAAGCAAGCCGGAAGACCAAGGTCAATCCGCATACCTTCTACTGGCCCTTCTTCGAGCTCTCGAAGTAAATCATTTTGTACACGATGTCATGAAAGTGGGCATTACTCTACAACTTGTGTTGCGTTAGTCCAAAATGTTGAGCAACCAACTCAATCTGGATGTTCCGCTACCAAAGTTCGTTTGTGTGGTAAATGTAAGCAACCCGGCCACCGTAGGAACAAGTGTCCTCAAAACATTACCTAGTTTGTTTGTGAAAAGACATAATTGGGTTGTTATTTGTATGATTGATTTGTGTGTGGTTAATGTAATAACTTTGTGGGACATATTGATGTGTGTAGTTTTTTTATGTTTGTTTTAGTTATTTTTAAGATGAATGAAAGTTGAAGTGAAAATGAAACAAAAAGAAACACAAAAAAGATTTCAGCTGGTATTTTGAACATCGAGCCGCAGTTGAACATCGAGCCGCGGTTGATGCACTCTCTCGGTCAACCTTGGTTGGGACGTCAACCGGCTGTGAATGATATTCTGAACAAGAAACCTAGGAAGAGCAATCGTCAGTCGCGGCTGAACTGCGAGCCGCGGTTGAAGTGCTCTCTCGGCCAACCGCAGTTGAGAAGTCAACCGGCTGTGAATGATTTTTTTGAACTAATTCCCTTTGGAAGGACCATCTTAACTCGCGGTTGAACTTCCAGCCGCAGTTCGAAATTAATAGGTTTCTTGCTTAAGAAACAGGTTTCTTGTTACAGCCGCGGTTTCATGCTCAAGAAACAGGTTTCTTGCTCAAGAAACCAGTTTCTTGCTCAAGAAACCAGTTTCTTTCTCAAGAAACAGGTTTCTTGCTCAAGAAACATGTTTCTTGCTCAAGACACAACATCGCGCAATTACGACCTCTTAAGCAAAGCTGTCTTGAGCCGCGGTTGCAGCCCGATCCGCGGTTGAGGTACACTCACGGCAAACCGTGGTTGGGATGTCAACCGGCTGTGAATGACTTTTTGAACTGTGCTCCTAGGAATAACAATCTTCAACCATGGCTGAACTGCGAGCCGCGGTTGAGGTGCTCTCTCGGCCAACCGCATTTGAGAAGTCAACCGGCTGTGAATGACTTTTTGAACTAATTTCCTTTGAAAGGACCATCTTAACTCGCGGTTGAACTTCCAGCCGCGGTTCAGGTACACTCTCGGCCAGTCGCGGTCGGAACATCAACCGGAGTTCAAAATTTATTTCTCAAGAAAAAGGTACTCTAAAATTTCATTCATTTTATGGCCATTTTTTCTCTAGTTGAAATAAACATAACCATCACATGTTCATAACCATCAAAACCATCACATGTTTCATAACCATGAAAACCATAAAAAGAAACAAAAACTAACATTGAATTCAAGTCATCACATGTTCCATAAACATCAAAACAATCAAAACAAACAAAAACTAACATTAAATAGGAGTAGCATTTTACCACCAGTACAGTCCACAAAAAATTGCAAGAAACAAAAGAACTTTTACGGTGGATGAGTGGATGAAGAGGGAACGTCGGGTCCCATGGATCGAGTAGGGGCCAATGAATCCAAACGAGCATCAATTGTATCTAATCGAGCATCAATTGTAGTCAACCGAGCATTAATTGCATCTAACTGTGTCCGCGCATATCCCTCGAATGATGTCAATTGATTGAAAAATCTTTCCATCCAATCCAATTGCGTAAAATTTGAGTCGGCACTGTCCCGGTCGTGTGCATCAGCATCCTGTTCGGTCATGCCAATTTGTTGCGTAGCCACAGACTTCCCTTTTGCAATATTGTCTTTAAAGAAATGCTCAACTTTGGGCCTCTTCTCGTGGGGGATAAGAGAAAAATTCTTGTTAATGAATTCACAACGAGTCAACTCTTCCTTGTCAATAATCTTTGCTCGTGTGATCGTTTGCTTCGTAAGCCTCGCCGGATTCAAAATTTGAAAGTGCATTGCCAATGCCGTCACAAAAGTCCCAAACGACGGATGATACCGTTGATGTGCTTGGATGTCGGCTAAGCTTGCCCAAATAAATTCGGTCGCATTGATTTTCTTTTTATCCATGGCACACTTCATAATAAAAAGCTCATTTTGGTTCAATCTAGTAGCTTGATCCTTCCCCGAGACTTGATAAGCGATGAACTTCCCGAAAAAGCCTAAAGCAACATCCTTCACAAGAAAAAAAGGAGCCCCGTTTGATGTAAATTTGTCACTCCCGGAAATCACCTTCCAATCCATCGGAGCCCTCTTCAGATAATCTATGGGCTTTTTCTTAGTGCCCACGGACGTGAACCCGAAAACATCTTTCATCACCTTGGGTGTCACCTTGCACTCTCTTCCCATCATCCTACATGTAAGAAGTTTGTTTTTTTTCTTCAATCTTCATTGTGCTAATAAATTCAAGCGTTGGGGGGTGGTAAGCCGGATATTGCATCTCCGCGTATTGCAAAAGGTTGACATTGGTGAGGTACTCTTTTACTTTGTTGTCAATCCCGATAGTTTCTAAAAGTTTCCAATCAATTTTCCGAGGTTCGGTGATGAATGATTCGTCAAGATTCCAAAAGTGCACGCCTTCATCCGCAAGGTATATGGGAAACGGACATTCATACTCTTTTTGAATATTTTCTCGAGCGGGATCAATTTGATACAATGTCTCATCTCCGCCTTTATTGGTGTCGGGTCCACTTTTCTCACTTTCTTCACTTTTCATGTCCTCGTGAGACTGAGAGTCCTCAAGAGATGGAGAAGTTTCGGGAGTTGGTGCATGTTTTCTCTTCTTAGCCATTTCGTCAAACACCGTGTGGGCACAATGTCACTTATTTTTCACCACCTACAAATTCACCACCAATACCACTTACATAATCAAATCATGTGTTTCCAACAACAACCAACAATTCAAACCAAACAATATTCAATCAAACCAAATCTCATCATTACAACAAAGATAATCTCATCCATTTCTTTCTTTGAATAAGCACTTTCCCGTGCATAACAAAATTTGACAAAGAAAAATTTGCATAAGATATAACAAAATTAAAACATCAGCATAGTACAAATCGACAATCATAAATGAAAATTCCACTTGAACTTACCGAAATAGACGAATTGACGACGGAGAAAAGGAGTTGTTGACTCTTGAACAACGACAATGAGTCGTGGTCTTGTAGACGTAGCTTTGAGGGCAGCGGATTTAGGGGTGAATCGACAAAGGGAATGAACGATGTAGGCGGAGGAGCTGCCGGGGCGGCGAAAGTTGGGGACGGCGGATGATTTGGGGAAGAGGTCTTGGGGACGACGAGGGTTTAATTTGAGGATTAGGGATAGAAGTTTAAAGATAAAATAATATTAATAATATATAAATAATTATTAATAATATATATTAATATATTAATACTTGTATATAAAATTGTTTTTTCGGTTCGAAAAATCGATTTTAAAGTTCAAAAGTAATTCACAGCCGGTTGAATTTTCAACTCCGGTTGAAAATTATTTTCCAACTCTAGTTGACATGTCAACCGCGGTTGGCCGAGAGAGTACATGAACCGCGGCTTGAATTTCGCCCGCGGCTGAAGATCGTCCTTACTTGGGTCATTGTTCATGAAACCAGTTTCTTTCTCAAGAAACAGGTTTCTTGTTCAAGAAACCAGTTTCTTGCTCAAGAAACGGGTTTCTTGTTCAAGAAACAGGGTTCTTGCTCAAGAAACAGGTTTCTTGTTCAAGAAACAGGTTTCTTGTTCAAGAAACCAGTTTCTTGCTCAAGAAACAGGTTTCTTGTTCAAGAAACCTGTTTCTTGTTCAAGAAACAACATCCCTCAATCTTCCAACTCAAACGACAATCCACTAACACTAGATACCGCGCTGAACGCTAACATTGATATTCATGAAACATGTTTCTTGTTCAAGAAACCAGTTTCTTGCTCAAGAAACAGGTTTCTTGTTCAAGAAACCAGTTTCTTACTCAAGAAACAGGTTTCTTGCTCAAGAAACAGGTTTCTTGTTCAAGAAACAACATCCCGTAATCTTCCAACTCGAACGACAATCCACTAACACTAGATAGCGCGTTGAACGCTAAC